TCCTCCGTGGTCTGATGTGGCTTAACGGCTAAGCACGCGGTCTAGCATTCAGGAGGGCAGAGGTTCGAGTGCGTGTGGAGCCTGCGTCTTTGTTCACCAGACCCACCTTCAATACGATGTTTGTTGCCCGTAAGTCGCTCACATATGAGAGAAAAAATGACAAGAGGACAGATTGATATATCAAAGTGCCATATTGGAAAAGTAAAAGTTCTTTGTTTACATTAATATTATTACTATAGAAAAAAACTACAAGTTTAGTAAATTTCCATTTTACGTTATATTTAAACCAACGAATATATATATATATCAGTTATTGACATAAAATGTCTTTTTTATAACGCTAATGTTAAGTTCCAGGACTTTGTATGGGCCACTAATAATAATTGGTTTAACGTTAGCATAGTCGTGATATTCATATTGTCAGTTCAATGTTATGATTACTAAACAGTTCCCTTATAAGTTGTTTAAAATTAGGTATGTGGAATCAATGCGGCTGACATAGTAACCTTACAGTAACGCACTGTACTATATCTTCACGGTTATTGATTCTTAAATGTCAGAAATTTAAAAAAATCTGAATATTGCCAATAAAGATGGGTTATATGATCACACTAAAAAGCATGCTGCAGGGAAACTGGTTAAGTCATTACGTAAGTTTCCTAAACATGAAAAAAAATGATGAGAACTTTAATAAGTACTTGACCATGGTTTAATTCGAAATGTTTTGTCTAGAAAACTACTTATTAATAGTAGTATTAATCGTATCAAGCTACTAAACATATCCTCAACCTAAAACTTTTAGAAGTAATTCATATGGTATATATGTATAGCCAGTCTACGTGAAAAATGTATATAAATATATAAGAAGTACAGCCAACATAGTTAATTAACCAGAAAAAGAAATTATAAAACTCGCCTGGGTTGCTTTTTGAATTCGTTGTATTTGCCAGTGTTAGTTGTATGAGTTTGATTAAAATCCTCAGCCATCGTTTCGGAATACCTAGCTTATGTGTCCAGTATTTTAAAAAAAATATTTAACATAACACGTATATATTAAAGGTAAAAGGTCTGGGGAGTTGTAGGTAAGGCGGAATGAGGAAAAAAAATTATTTTTAAGTAGATGCAGGGTGTGATTAGCTGCGTGGTTAGATTTTATCCTGCAGCCGAACCTGTCAACATCCTTGACTGACTAATTGGATGTGCCCAGCGAACCGTTTTAGTCATCTGTAAAGATTTATTATCTTTACATTTCGATTCCGTAATGGATTTGTCAGTTAAACGATCTAACAACACGTATGGTGGTTCATGATCTAGATAAGCCGGCTTTAGCCTATCAATACTTACTGTGTCGATGTTTCCATGTTTTTTTATCACGAAGTATTTAGATTTTCTTGAGACGACTTTGAAAGGACCTTCAAATGGAGGACTGAGTGGTGCTTTTATTTTGTCACATCTTATCCAGACGTGCGTGAAATTGCTTAGGTCTTTAGGTATATATACGGGGCGCGATTGTTCACGAGTATTAATCGGCTTAAGTTTAGACATGTGGTCCCGTAGTTGATCTACATAATTTTCTAAATTAAGTTTTTGACTGTTAGTATTAGGGTTAATAAATTCACCTGGTAGTCTCAGAGTTGTTCCGAAAACCAGTTCCGCAGCTGATCACTGTGCGTCAGTTTTGACAGATGTTCGTATTCCCAACATAACTAACGGTAGGAATTCTCTCCACTGATTGGGGTTTGAGTGAGATATAAGGGCGGTTTTTAGCTGACGGTAGAAACGGTCTACCATCCCATTAGCCTGACGATGATATGCAGTGCAGCGTATCCTATTGGAGCCTAGAAGTTTAGCCAAGTTATTAAATAGTTCGGATTCGAATTGCGCTCCTCTATCCGTCGTTATTGTTATGGGTGTACCAAAAATGGTTACCCAGTTCTGCATGAAGACTTTGGCTACTGTTTCCGCTGTGATGTCCGCTATCGGGATGGCTATAGGGAATCTGGTAAATCGATCTATGCATGTAAAAAGATAATTAAAACCGTTTGAACGTGGTAAAGGACCTACTAAGTCGATATGCACATGGGCAAAACGTGCATCTGGTTGCGAGAAAACACCTATGGGTGAATTTGTGTGACGATTAATCTTTGACTGTTGACATGCTGAACACTCTCTAACCCATTTGTGTACATCCTTCTGTAAATTCGGCCATATATATCTGGCATTGATTAGTTTTGTTGAAGCTTTTGCGCCAGGATGAGACAAAGAATGAAAGTTATTATATATGGTTGTGGTGATGGTGGACTTAAAATCAAGTCACGGACTTCTTTGGCGACTGAAGGAGGAAGGATAGAACACAAGTCTCTATAGCGAATCCCTTCAGATTTGATATTGTGTCTCGTGAAATAATGCTCTAGTTGAGCAAACCACAACTCAGGATCACTACGATGAAATTCTGGAAGTCGGGATTTCGTAGTCATAACAGTGTCTATCTCCACTGGTGACAAATCCTCCAGATTATGGGTTTCTATTGAGTCTGACATGAGGTATGTGACAAATATAACAATAAAGTTAGCACAAAAAGTGGTTACTATAACACGAATAACTTAAGATAATACGGAATAAACTAGTTATATACTCAAATTAGTTTACGGATAATCAGGTCCACTTTTACGATTAAGTAAAAAAAAATGTTAATAACAGAAATGAGGTCAAATTTGTGTTCAAAAAAAGCTCACCAATTTCGTGCCTTAAAGTAACCCTCGTGCTATTGATAGAAGAAACCAGACAAGTAGTGAATAGGTCTTTATTTCGATCTCAGCGCGGTAACAGTGGAGCGTGGGACTATCTGTTCAGACAAACAAAGGCTCTCAACATTCAATATAAGATAATAGGGAATATAACGCTTATACAAAACAAGGAAGTGGATGAATACTTGAACAATACTGTTTTGGTATATGCTTGGTTGTTTGGGGTCAACTCTTAACCAACCAACCTAAGCTGTTACAAGGTCTGTATTTAGATCTTCGCGTAGTCACAGTGGAGCGTGAGATTATTTGTTCAGACAAACAAAGCCTCTCAACATTCAATATAAGATAATAGGAAATATAACGCCTATACAAAATAAAGAAGTGAATGAATACTTGATCTACACTGTTTTGGCATATGCCTGGTTGTTTGAGGTCAACTCTTAACCAACCAACCTAAGCTGTAACAAGACCACATTTAGAGTAGGGTATCCAAGCCGCAACCCCGTGTCTGGTAAAGGATACTAACTCACTTGAGTGTGTCCAGCGTGTGGAAACGAAATTAGTGAAGGGTCTTTCTAAACTCCCTTGCGGTGAGAGTTTAAAATGCCTAAACCTTTTCCCCTTGTCGTATCGTAGGATGCGAGGTGACCTCGTATCTTTACTTATGAGTTGGGTGTTAATATGTCTTATCTTTGTGTTCACTACAGCACTAATAATCTCCGAGGTCATAGCAAGAAGGTTCATAAACCGCGATCTGAGAAACTTAAAGTGGGGTCCCTTTTTTCTCATCGGGTAGTCAGTGATTGGAACGCCTTACTTGAACAAGTGGTATCAGCCCTATCAGTGAATATTTTCAAGGAGAAGCTGGACCTTCACTGGGAGGAAATCTGTCAACATTAACACAGGTTCACCAACCCACTATCCTTATTACTGAGGGGTGGAGAATGAAGTTTGGAAAGGACAGGAGGCTTGATGGCCTGTGTTAGTCCTGGCAATTGTGATCTCTCAGTTGATCCAACTTTCTTTCGAAAGAGTCGACGAATGGAGCCTCAACCACGTGCTGAGGTAATGAATTCCACTCGATGACTCGATGGGAAAGTCGATAGTCAGCTGACAAGTAATTTGTTCTGGGCTTGTGAACTTTTTTGGAGTGTCCTCTTAAATTCTCTGTTTTGGAAGATAAGAAAAATAAGGGCATTTCAGGTGCAAATTTATCACTAAGCAATTTGAGATACCGATTCATGTAATAGTCCTCGATTTCGCAAAAGGCCCTTGAAACAGTATCTTATGTAATTTTTATAGCAAGTGTCTCAAAGATGCGTTTATTTAGGCTCACATAATACCTAGAAAATGGGATGTTTCATGTAAAAGTAAACGGAAGGTCTCAACATCAGGAGTTTCACAAAGAACAAACTTGGACCCACTGTTGTTCTTGATCTTTAGAATTAGCTCGGTGACAACGACGTACGGAGTCAATGTGAAGATCTGAGGATTCACACAAGGCAAAGAGGATATACGTGAGCTTCGAAACACCCACTAAAACGATCGATGAATATTCAGTAAACAATTGGTTACAACTGAACCTGCCGAAGTGTCGTGTCATGAGAATTCTGCCTTATTTAACTAATCAATTACACCCTCAATGAAATCCGCTTTCGATCGTCTCTTCAGAGAGTGATTTTGGGCTTACAACCTCGGAGAGTCGATGAAACCAAAGCAAACTCAACACTTGATATTATGGGAAAACAACTTGGCTCAATCATCATAGATTTGTTCCTTAAACCGTTCGAAACGTACCCATGGCCCCCACTTTCAAGTTAATAACGTCGATCTACCCCCTCTCTTCCAAAGAGATCTCTTAGACCAAGTACAGAGCGAAAGCTTCTTCTATTCCGTTCACAACCATTTGAACCATTTGAAAACATTCACTGAAACTACAAGTTATACGAACTGACTAAAATCAACACAGTAAAGTGTTTAGACTGCCCCCAGTTGCACTTAATCAAATACCTTGAACCGCACCAAAACAAAAAGAAATGAAAGCAAAGAAATCAATTGGTTTATACAAGCTCATGACAAAGATATTGAACTATGGAATTCTGTGTGAGATTCATCGAATGACCAGTAACTGAAATGGCATACACAAACAAGTGAGTTCGGCCCCATCAGTGAGCATCTTTAAGAACAAGTCTGGTCTTCACTGGGAAATAAGCTTCAAGGAACAACATAGGTTCAGCGACCTACTATCCTTGTAAGTGGAGCCTGAAGCGGCTAATTTGCCGTGCTCGTTACGGTGTATTGCCTTCTCGAGACTACTGTTCCTAGTTGTTTTTACCGTTCTGTAGCTCTTAGTAGTGTTCTATGAATACTTTTTTGTATTTAACTTGTATCGGCCGGATTAAAGCATCTCTGATCTTTCAGAAAATAGAATTCAATCTATTTTTCCTTAATTTTATAACATTTCATTACTTCACTCGAGCATCATCCTCAGCTGCCGTTCATTCGTTTTGTCAGTTGTGTTCGATCATTTTGCACATCAAAGGAACTGGGTTTTTGTAACTAGGGTAAAGCGCTAGGCTAGTTACTTGTTATAATTAAAGAAAGACCAATATACACCACTATTAAATCGAAACTATCTGAAAAGTAGACTGAGTTTATGTCTACCTTACTTATTTTGTCAATATTAGTACTGGAATAAATTAGAATGTACAATACGTGGCATAAATTGACCAATTACTTAATCCATGTATACAATTCACAACATCAATAGATTAGGCTGTTTTTAATAGAGGGGTGAAGATGTATAGCACAGAGAAGAAGCTCCACCATTAGACTGCTTTGAATAAAAATTACTGTCAAGTCACTGGAATTTAAATTTTCTCTTGGCTAACAGTTTCTTATGAATTACTATCATCCTTGATGCTGTGTATTTTCTAGAAAAGGTTCAATGCAATTTCGCAAAGTAATTTGTTACAGTTATGCACATATTCAACCGACTCTAATCTCCAGTTCATTTCGCAATCTGTCGACTTCATCACAATTATTCAAACACCAGCAGCAAAGATATCGTGAGGCTAAAGTAACTGTAAATGAAAAGTCGAAGAGTAGACGAGATGCTGCTCGTGAACTATTGATGAAAACAAATAGGACGAAGTGGGAGCAGGAAATGGCTCAATTAAATATTTTGAAAGGTCGAATTCCAACTTCCGATACTTACTTAATATCTGAATTTGAGCCGAAAAAATACAGTTTGTCAGAAGCTGTTGAGCTACTGCGTGAAAGTGCCCAGCCGGATATGTATGATTGTATGGATAATCCAGTTCGAGTTAAGGTATGACGTTTTTGCAACCTTTCTGTATTCTAAGTTGCGTCAGAATTCTTTTCAGAGCTATGAATATTATTGTGCGTAGACCACTTATTGTGTTACAAAACTAAAACTTGGGACTAGGTATATGTCAAGTTATCTTCATAGCTTGGATTTCAACATCTAGACCATATTTTCATCTACAATGCTAACTAGTTAGTGTAGTCGTAGAGACCGACTAACTGTCTGGTTTTGTATATCCAATGTTTCAACTAGATTATCTAGGTCCCGCTATTTTGAACCTAAATTCACTTCTCATCCGGCCTTCAAGATCATTTGAACCATTAAAAAATACTTCTCTTCACATAACATATTTTATCAGTAAAGTCTGTAGTTAGGCGAAGCTTTTTTAACCTAATCACTTATAAATGTTAGTGTAATTTAGAATGTGAATTTCTTTTCATTAAGTCTTAATGAGTTTTAAAATTTCTTGTAACTGATTGACTAATAAATATATGAATGTATATTTTATATTAATCGAATCTGTCTATACATTTAATAAGAAGTCTGTTGTTGAGTTTATCCCGAATAGTGACTCAGTGATTTGGGTGTTCGACTGTCTGTCACTAAGTTATAGGTTCAAATTTCCCTCCATCGACTTCGATCTGGGAAACCGGGTAGAGTCATTAGCCCTTGCACTTAAAGTGTACCTCATACACAGGTACCTGGGGTTTGAATGAACTTAATTTGATTACACTGAAGTATTGACTTACAATCTTTTGGATAATTCATACGGAAACTAACTTTGGCGGGAGTGGTTTTGTCTTTTTATAGAGCAATGATCACATATTCATTGTTATCATTTCATTTAAAGGGTCCTAATTTTTCATTACACGTTATTTCATAACACATCTTGCATAATCTGCGAAATACCAAGGGTTTTTTTAGTTCTCATCATACTATCAGGTTCATACCTTAGTAACTTCCACATACATTATATTACATATAAAACTAGGTACTTCAATGGCTTCAGTGTACGGTGTTAGAACTCTTTCATCCTGATATATGTACATACAATTTTTGTCTTTCTGTGAGGTGTATGTATTTTTGTACTCACGTTTTATTCTATAAGGAGCCGATTATTTTCCAAATTATTTTGAAGTTTCCACTCCTAGTAAACCAGTCACCATTTCAGTCTTCAACAAACAATACATCAATAGCAAAATTTTTCAAAGTTCTATGTTAAGTTACTTACTGTCTACTCAAAGTTGCACTGGTAACGCTAAATGATTCCATATTACAGAACCAATAAATAACTGCTTTAGAAATTCCTTCAGTCAGTCATATACAACGTAGAATATGGCATATATATGCATTAGTTCCAGTTGCTACACCGCATTAGTACAGAGGGGAAATTATCAAAATAAATAATAGATTATCAGAAGTGGTATTAACACTTCCGATATCAATAACAGTGAAAAATATTACTTATAGAAAGAAGAAGTATGAGAAATTTCCGCAACTCGGAATCTAAGGGTAGACATAGAGTTAATGTAGCTGTTTTATTGCGAACGATTCTGAGTCACATCACTCAATGAGAATCGCGCAGACCCCAGACACGTAGTCTATACCTGTTAACATGGCTCAGTTTAGTAGTCACTAAATTTATGGGTTGATACTTCTCCTTGTTTTGTCCTCCCTAAGCTTTCTTCCAGCGTAATCCTACACCGGTTTGGCATACTTAACAAACGCTCTAACCACCCCAGTTGGTGAAGATTCACTACATCATCAACCGACTTACCATATTTGCCTAGTGCATTATGCTTAACCTCGACATTGCTTACCCGATGTTCCCGAAATACACGAGAAATGTTTCGAAGGCACCCGTGATCACGCATCGATGAACTGTTACTTTCACCCATTTTGAATGGCTATGTCTCATTCATAGAGTATAACGGAGTGGGTTGTAAATCAATTCTTTGGTTTACATACGGACGTCTCACCTAGGCAAATCTATGCAATATTTCGTTAGACACCAAATCCCCAGTGCCTACGAGACTATTCAGGATTTAGAAATGTTACACAAGCTAGAACTTTGGATGTCAAAAAAGCTGTTAATTGGATTAGTATTTATAAGTAGGAAGTAATAATAATCACAGACCATGAAAACACAATAAATGAATGAATTAATCCATGCTAAGAATGTTTATAATAATCATGGTTTTCTCCCCTTTATTATTCGAGGAATACTTTATCAATTAGGTCTCCTCGACAAAGATTTACTTGAAGAGAGTCGTTTTCTTCTGCATGTTATCTGCATATACAATCGTAAACATTTCAAAAATTTCCTGACCGTTTTTCCCTAGTTTCATGAACAACCTTATAAGAATCGTTCGCTTATTTATTGGGCATTTATGTGTTCCATCATTGTTCTCACAATAATAGTCATCGGAACTAGAGGCAGCTGTATTTTGGAATATCATCGTTTTCTCAATAGGACTATGTTTTCCTAATCGAATTCACTTTCTATAATCAGCATCTTTTGTGAACTTCATAGGTTGGCATGTTGTTAAAATATCCCGAATGAGCATAAACTGTGTACCCAATTTAAAAATATATGTAGACCTTTAATTTAGTTCTATTTTTACTCTCACTATTCATGGTATGATGGTAGATAAGTGCTTAAGTCAACTCACCCTTCAACATCAGTTTTATTAGGTAGGTGCGAATCTACATTCCACATACATCAGTGTTTAAGCAACCAATTCATATCACTCTAGATGTGATCACATGTAAATATCATAATTCAAAGTTAGTTATACCTTAGGAAACCTCTACCTTTGGTAACTGAGTTACATTACTTCCTTATTATACAGTAACGATCCAGTAAGTTTACCCATTTAAAGTTGTGAATTTTATGGTTGTATTGTTTTCTGTATTTCATGGGGTTCACATACACAGGTTACGCTCAATATGTGTACAAAGAAGAAGACAAGGTTCATACCGAAATTTGAAAGTAATCTCGTTCTACCAAATATATTAGATTTTATGCCTGCTCGTCGAGTATTGGTTATATGTCAAGTAAGTTAAAGGAGAAACTCACATATAAAAGTAACTTTTGTGTTGATAAAAACCGGGGGGGGGTATGAACTAAGTTTGTTAGTTAGGTGTTAATTTAGTTGGAGGTTGAACTAATTATGGTTGCTTTGTGCTCCAGTCGTTTATTTGTTGAATAATCTACTCTCTTGGCTAGTAAAAATCTTGTATTTGATCTCAACTAGAGCCCCTGATACCTCCGACCGTGGGGAGAATCAGCTCTTCCTCTCGAGGTCCTCTCACATGGCCACTCGTATACAGCCACTCCTAGGGAAGTCCTGCTCAGTGCCTTCTCGTGGTGAGGGTGTTGTTTACAAAATTGAGAGGAAAAAAAGTGAATATCCGGAGATCTAACCAGGTTGATGGACTCACCTAGGGGGTTTGGAAAACACTAACTTCGAACCTATTTTGCACATGGTCTTCAGAATCCTAAGGGAACAAATGGCGTATAAACTTATTTTTGGTGATCGGCTACCATGGGACTGCATCTCCTAACGTTGCTCAACTGACTTGTGGATTAGACCTCTAGATGAAAGGCTCCGGGTGTGTGACCCCCTAAGAAAACCACCTGTTTCGGTTTGGGCTCCCGAGCAATATTTCAACCCTTACACAAGTCGAATAACGAAGTGTGGCGCATAAATATTTGATACTTTCTTGTACCAATGTTTACGTGTTTAAATAAATAAATGAAATAGAGTTTGTACCATCACATTCACTGCATACACTATCAATATATTACATAATTACTGTCACTTCTTTTACCGGATATTATGTTAGTAGGTCAGTTCCACGATTATCTTTTCCAATCCATTTTAGTGGTTAACACCCTTCTATTTTGTTTGTTTGTTATTTACATCATTCCATTTCATTGTTTGATTACTTCACCAATCATATTGTTGTAATATCTGTAGTTCACATCGTAAACTGACAAAGTCATGAATGTCTTATATTAGAAAGAAACAGGAGATTATTGTTGTTTATCCTATTCGTTTTCAATGATTACTCAAAAAATCTCAAATTGTTATGAAACATCATTTATAAATTGACATTGTCATCTTGTTTCTCGACTAAATACATAATTTTTAATTGTACACAATTATTATTACTACTGTTACTACTATTATCAGAATTCAGATGATCGTGAGGCATATTTAACTGCTGGTGCTTATGATGCTGGTGGATCAGCACTTATTCAACGTATAAGTCAAGGTCACTACCATTGGGGTGAATATGATACTGTTGTCGCTCATCAAAGTTGGGAAAGTCAGGTGACAAAATTACGACATATTTTAAAAGAAAGACTACCGACAATAAAAAATGGTAAGAACTTTCATCTTTCTTGTGACATAATTTCAAATATGATGTTGTTTTTAAACAGTTTTCACTGTTTGTTGTATTGTATTATCAAGCTTCTTGATGGATCTATGTAGTTTTAATTGAGATCATGAACCGATTGATGTTAGACCACCAATGAAAACCTGGAAGCACTGGACGGCCGTTTCGTCCTACTGTGGGACTCCTCAGCAGTGCGCATCCACGATCCCGTTCATGGGATTGGAACCTAGGACTTGTCTGTTTCGCGTGCGAACGCTCAACCTCTAGACCACTGAAGTGGCCGGCATCCAACGGTGTTAATGCCTAACCTCATCCAGTTCGCGAAATCGCGCGACCATTTTCCATTTTATTGAGGTATATACTTGTCTCTACCCGACACGGATCTGTGTAGGTTGAACAAGTAATATATAGCAGTATTGTTTAAATAATATTTTTTGGAATAATAGGTGACACTATAATTTCCTGGTGACCTTGAGAATGTCCAGTTACTTACTAATATTAAATGAGGGTTTTAAATTAGTGTGAAGAATTAAGATTAGGATTTGTAGAGTTGGACGTTAGTGTTAAGAATTAGAGTTAGGTTCATTGTCACAAACTGACATCAGCAGTAATTCCAAAATGCTACTTAACCACATGGATGGGTAAATTTCTCGCCAAAATTAAGCACCTGTCTTAAATCTGATTTGTTCGCCCATAAATTATCGTCTCACCAAACAACTGAGTAGCTCTTAAAATCCTGAATTCAAAACGCAATAAGATACTATTACTTTTGGCAATATAAGTGTCAAGATTCAATCAGAGAAGAGGTACTTCCTACATTGATTACGTTATAATTATTTCTGAAAAAACGTACGACAAATTAGGTAGCTTTGTCAACCCAACAATATGAACTAACAAATTGAAATGAGAACGTTTTCCCCTTTGCTGTAAAGAATAATCCGATTAATTAGGTCAAAAGTATTATCCCACTGTGATTTTATCGCTTTTCACCGATGTTTTATAAATAAACACTGTTTCCTGATTGTCTGATAACTCACTTCAAGATTGTCAGTATCTAGTTTACTTTTACCCAACAACATTGAGATAGGTTCTGTGTTCAAAAATGAATAACAATTGCCTGAGTTACTGAATATTAGTAAGTAGTATAATTAATGCACAGAAGGAATGAAGATGGAAAAGGATTGAGGGTGATATATTTGCAAACAAAATGAAGAGCTATTACCAACATTGCAATCTATTATTAATTATATTTTATCAATTAAAAGTGGATAACTATTGGGGAACAAACTTATTGATCGACTTTACTCAATCTGTGAGTTTAGTTAAACCACAGTTGTTTTCCTGAAAAGAACATGAATGACAAGTTAACCGGGGTATTATTCTCCATTGACAGTTAAAAGAAGGCTAAACATAGGCATCGTTAACAAGAGCATATCTTTCAGCCAATGTAGTCGTAGTGTGAATAACAATATGTTCCTTTGAGCACTCGAATATCGTTAAGTATCTTTCTTATCTTCCAGTTCTCATGATGATGATGATGTTGAGATTATTGAATTTCATTGGAATCAAGAATCAGTCAATGCTAGACCACCATTGAGAACCTGAAAACACTGGACGGCCGTTTCACCCCAGTATAGTGGTGGTCTAACATTGATCGGTTCATGGTTTCAATGAAATTACTTCCAATTGCTTGTATAAGTTTATGTGTATTTACCAAGGTAATTGGTTTGGTAGAGTCGAAAGTAAAGCCTAGCGTAGTATTCTACCAAGTCCTTACTTAAGAAGAAGGAAATCCTTCAGCAATGAAATTTCTAAGCAGCTCGACAACATCAGATAGCTCAAAGTGATTTCGAATCCCGGTTGTGTCTTATTGCCTGTGTTGGATGTATATGAGATATGAGTTGGTGATGTGCAGTATATGTTAGTATGTGTATGGGGCCAGGCCAACATAGTATTCAGCGCAGTAGGTAGCGCATTCGGCCACCAGGGGTGAGGATATTAATAGCTGGCTGGTGGACTGGGCCCGCCCACGCCGACTGGGTAGGGGAAAACTCCCAAGCCTTGTCCAGCCGACTGCAACCACATTGGCTCGGCACCAATTTGGCAGATAGCGACTCCCTCTTCATTGCTTTCTCATTCTCTATATCCTCCCTTGTACACACTATACACTTATTCACATTGTCCTTAACTTTATTACACTCAATCCAGTCATTATCCCAATATGATACACACATCAATTATTTCCATTTCCATCCGTCCTTCCATCCAGTCATCCAATCAGTCCGCATCAATTCCACTTCAGTTTCACCACATTTTATCAAACACTCGCCCGATCGTTCCACATACTCGTCACATCCTGCTTATCTCTTCACTCTACGATGACTATCTTCTCACTCATAGCATGCATAAAGTATTGAATTGGTCGATCAGCTGGAAGCTGTCATATATCCGTTTTATTATGGCCAACAAGTTTATCATACATACTACGAATCACTATCACCAGTGATATGTTGATTTTGCATGGATATTTTAGAAAAGGAATGAATGTCCCCTGAAAGTGGTGTGTCGGTTTATTGATTAAATTTAAACTGAAATACCGATGATTGCACTAACTTGTATTCTTAACTGTAATACGTGAAACTTGCTTGTTGAGTGAACATTAACTTTAGTGCTGGATGATGATGATAAATAAGTGAATATTTGGTGAAAAGATTCCGACATAAATTTACCTTGTTGAGGTATCCTGCATCGTTGTATCTCAACCGTAGCTGCCACCTTGACTTACGAGGTAGTGGGGCTTACCTATCATGATGAACATATCAAGTTTTATTGGCTGAAATATTTGTTTGTTTGGGCCCAACCATAACTGACAGGTCGATTGAATAGCGGCAAGGCTAAAAGCACCAAACATTAGGTCCGGAGACGAAGTCTTATTGCTGACCGTACAAGGATGTGACAACAGTATGGTGTTTCCTTCATATAATTAGCATCCATAATAACGCCACCTTAACACAATGGCATGAATGGGTTAGGAGAGGTCAGCGTTGTCATATCTCACCTTGCGTCTCAGATATCCTTCGCGTGTTTTAAGGCTTTTGAAATGTGGAACTAACGCATCATGAACCTCTCTCAAAATTCCATATGTGATCTGCATTAAGCAGTTGTCTCTTTGGCTTAACAGTTACTCTCTTAAATCATCAAGACCACAACTAATTCAGTTTCCCTCTCAAGATAACTCAAGAGGATGTATTCCTCCGCGATTTTGGCGACCAGGTAGTAACATTCACTCTCATATCCTTAACAACACTCGAGATCACTGACTGATCACTACACCTGCCTCTTTGGCACAATAAATTTTAACATCGGTGATCCGGTGGTTATGATATTTGACTTTCAGCCACTACTCTTCAGTTTCCAACCCCACTCTACTTTGATTTAGGCAGTTACCATTTTCAATCAAGGAAAGTTTTTGCTTGTTGTCAAGCCTTCAATAGGTTGACTGTCTTATTAAAGAAAAATCTTTATTCATGTATATGTATGTATTTAGGTAGATTTGGTGAAGATATGATGAAACTGATGTCAATCCATTCGAATAGTATTCAACTGGAATCAACCTCCATTGATGGTGTTCCTGAAATTGGATTACTGGATATAATTTTGGGTCAGGTATTAACCTATTTCATTATATTATTATTATCATCATTATTAAAAAATCATTTTTTCAAACTCACATAACAGTCTCCCATGATGTCATATCATTCATTCTATAGTTATGTGAGATCAACACCAACCGAGGATGTGCGCTATTGCATGGATATTAATTTTCATTAAGTTATGAATCTTCATTAACGGATGAAGCTAAATTATGTGTTGCATTTATCTAATGTCAGCCTATGTCTACACATAATGTCAACTGTGCTGTAATGAATAGATTGAAAAAAGCCAGGCGCGACCAAACGAAGTTAATGTGATCAGTCTATGAATTTTATTGACTCCTGATATGAAACCATGTGAGTTCTGATCTATTGGAAAAAAATAGTTAGAAACCCTTAGGCGATATGGTTCACGGTTGGTTGTAGCGTGTTGTGTAACAGATAATTTGTCTCTTTTTGTCTATCCATCAAGAGTTTCAGTATTATTCCACACTTTTTATTTCACGAGAATGTACTATAAAGTACCATTGAAATCCAGAAAGCACTACTCAGGTGTTTTGTCGTAGTGCGAGGCTCCTAGGCATTGGGCACCTACGACCTTATCTGAAATCAAAATGAGGATCTTTAGGTTTAGAGAATTTCTTGAGTATTTTTCTAACATCCATTAACAACTGTTAAAGGTTAGTCTCTGTAATTATTGGACAAATCTTGTATACATTCTTGTAGAGTTTACAAAGAGGTTTATGTATTTTTGTTATTGATGATTTACACATTCTGACTGTGCTAATGTGATATGGCAACTCGAACTGATGTACATACGTACAAAGTTCTACGTTGTTACTAACCGACTGACATTCTGAGTACTGGATTTCATTACTTTATATGTTTCATTTCTTTGAATATCAGTAGTCTACTTCTTTAAATCTTGTATTAATTCTTCTAGCTCTCATGGGATTTTAATCGACTAGAAGAGAATTTACGTAGTTATTTGGAATGTATTGAATCACAAAAGTCATCTAGAATCATAAGTAAGAGATGAATAGATTATATTGTTTTATCTTACGTTTTGTATTCGATGTAAAAAGATAAATTTAATTGTTTAAAGTCTTGCTTGCTTCTCGTGGCGGGGGTGTTGTTTACGAAATTGAGAGGACGAAAAGCGAATGTCCGGCGCTTTAACCGGATTCCAAACCAATGGTGCACATGGGCTCCAGTATCCTGCGGGAACAAATGGCGTATGAACCAATCGTTGGTCACCGGCTTCCATGGGACTGCATCTCCTTACGATGCTCCACTGCCTTGTGGATTAGACCTTTAGGTCAAAGGCTCCGGGTGTGGCCCCCTAAGAAAACCACCTGCTTCGGTTTGGGCACCCGGGCAGTATCCCAGCCCTCACACAAATCGAATGGTTTATGTGTCGCATATGTATTTGGTGCCTCCTTGTACCAATGTTTATGTGTTTAAATAAATAACAAATTAAAGTCTTGCTTGATACTTGGATGCTTCATACTAGTTGGGATTCATCATTCAGTCACAACGTAGAAATTCGTACGTACGTACATCAGTTCAAGTTGCTATACCATATTAGCACAGAGATTCAGTTGTCGATTCAAATCCAATAGTGGTAGAGGTAGTAAAAGTATAAACAATAATCGGAAACATTAGGGTTTGAAAATGTTATTCATCGAGTATAAACCAGTGAAATAAATTTGGAAAGAGAAAAAAGGAACATGAAGGACTCGGAAGATTAGAATTTTGGAGAACACAAAGAGTGGGATTCATCACCAAGAGATTTATCTGTATTGTGCATATTTCTCATATCCAAATGTCTAGTTTCATTAGTCATTTAATGGATTTCATAATATTATTACTTATTAAAGACAATGAGTGTTGGTAAATAATAAACATCTATTTTGGCCTAGTTCAAGATTTGTTCGGCTAATGAAGTAAGTAATCAACCTTCATCGACTGAAGTATCGTCAGCCACTGCCTACTTCGACATACTATGTTTACTGGTGTAAAGGTAGGTTAAAGGAAAGCTGGAGACGAATAAAGTAAAATGTGGTATGAAGTTCATGAAGTCATTGATAATTGAACAGAGTTGTATTGATAGGCTTAAACTATCTGGTTGAACTCTGCGCTCTTGTGAACGATCCCAGTGACATTTATTATTTATTTATTTTAACACATAGATATTGGTACGAGGAGGCACCAAATACATATGCGCCACACAAATATCATTCAATATGTATGAGGGCTGTGATACTACCCGGGTGCCCAAACCGAAGCAGGTGGTTTTCTTAGGGGGCCACACCCGGAGCCTTTGAGTATGTGATCTAATCCTAATTATTAATCAAAATAAATGTACAATCAATATATAAACCAGTGTATTTTAAACTATTAGGATTCGTCGTCGTCGTCGTCATAGTGTTTTGGTGCTAATAAATCTCCACTTATACCAGTCTTGTGTTCTTACTTTCACATCGTGGGGATTGCCGAGGTCCGTCGTTCCGAGTATAAATGATCAGCGTTATTTTCCGGTACAGCAATCAGCGATGACTAGATATAACAACATAACACTATCCTAATTTTGTAAATATATATATACTTCACTTGTGTTTCTGTAAAACATTCATATCATTACTGTATGTGTTTCTTTCTTCTTTTTTTTGTTGCGAAAAAAAATCCTTCTACAGATGAGTTCATTCAATCCGGTGAAATTCATTGTCCACCAACTGGTGAACGTTTTATTTTAGATATTTCACAATATTGTTCTCTTGGTAACAAATCTAAAGCAAATCAACTTGTTGATGAAGGTGAAGAAGAAGATGATGATGATGATGATGATCATGATGATACAATTGATATGATGAGTATACAAATAGAAAAACAACAAAATACAAATGAACTTGATATTTGAACCTCTTGTTATTAACTAATTAACACCTAATGTACGTGTACATATTGTTAAAATACACTGATTTTCCAATTCTATTTAGTTTCTTTATCTTAAAGACTATTTAAAGAACCAATATGATGTTATCAAGTTTATTCCATCATCTGGAAATCTTCTAGAGATGGTTATTTTATTTATTTATTTATTTATTTGAACACATAAATATTGGTACAAAGGGGCATCGGATACATATGAACCACACAAGTGTGTAAGATGTGATACTGCTCGAACTCCCAAACCGAAGCAGGTGGTTTTCTTTTAGGGGCCACATCCGGAGCCTTCAACCTGAAGGTCTGATCCACAAGGTAGTGGAGCAACGTCAGGAGATGAAGTTCCATGGTAACTGGTGACCAACAATTGGTTCATACGCCATTTATTCCATCAGGATCATGAAGCCCATGTGAACCATTAGTTTAGAATAAGCGTTTTCTAGTCCTCCTAGGTGAATCCTTCATATCCGCCAACGTGGTTAAAGCGCCGGACATTCGCTTTTCGTCCTCTCAATTTCGTAAACAACATGCTCACTGCGTAAAGGCAGTGAGTAGGACTTCCTTGGCAATGGTTGTATGCACGTGGCCATGTGAGAGCATTTCGAGAGAGAGAGAGAGAGAGCGAGCTGACTCTTCCTACTCTCGGCCGTACCAGGGCATTGGGGGTTTTCCTTCACTACACCATTATCAAAAGAGGGACTATTAAGATGAGTTGTTAAGTACAAGGCGAACAATCTAAGTTAATTGGAAAATGAAGCAAGTTAATTCATGTATTGCATACACTAAGCTACCGCTCAATAATGCGATAAAATGGTATATTTGAAGTAAGAAGATTTTACGAAAGAATTTAGAAGTTTAGATTGATGTTTTCACTCTAGTTACTACCTATAAAATAGAACTAAATTATAAACGGGGTGGAGGAACACTAGTTTTGTGACTGGTTTCCATATATATCTTAGTAACCTGTTGTTATATCTGTCGTGCTTAGTGAAAACACAAAAAACTACTGTTATGAATTTATTTGACTTTGAAAATAAATCAAAACACTACATGGATACGATGGTGGTTGGTGGTAATCGACAGGAAACCCTAGGCCCGGGTTTCGTGCTACTTGGCACTCGTCAGCAAGACGTACCTGTAATCTTGAGGGAACTGGTGCTCCCTGACGGATTCGATCCCGTGTTGGTCGATAGCATTAGATCTGCACTAAATAAGGACTTGACACACATGACATTGATCACCACCCAGTGATCAATCAATTGTGATTACATCTCAGTCCTACAGGAGGTCAGTCGCGGCCTGGATAACTCAGTGGTAACGTCTCTGGCTGTGAAGCTAGGTGACACGAGGTCGAATCTGCCAGGGTGCACCAGTTCCCTTAAGATTACAGGTACACCTTGCTGACGAGTGCCAAGTAGGATGAAACCCGGTTCCAGGGTTTCCTGTCGACTACCTCCAACCACCATCTAATCTCAATATATAGTGCACGCAGTGTCGAGTCACCTGGACTGGTGACCACATTGCATCATGGTCGATAGCATTCGATCTGCACTAAATAAGAACTTGACACACATGATATTGATCACCACCCAGTGATCAATCAATTGTGACTACATGGATACATCAAAATTTATATGATTAATTAGTTTTGCTATCAGATTAACATTTAGATTTCTGTATCATATAAATTGAATAGTATTTAACACTAGTTAATCAATAACTTACCATTTGAATACATATTTACTGATCGACTATGCATAGTGATTAAATAATCTCTCTTGTTTGGTTTTGTCATATCACAGATTTTGCAGTATGTGCTTTGATTTCAATTGTGATGAAATAAATGGATTAGTACATTCATGTTCTACACTATTCTTTCTTAACTAGATTTCAGAGAAAGATAGGCTTGAATGATAATTTTACTTAATACTTAACCTGAATATACATTCACGATCGTTAGTATTTTGAGTGTTATATGCTCTATACTTCTATCATGACTTGTCGTACGATCATTAGGTTATAGAAATTTCCAAACCTTCAATTTGAACAACAGAAGACCAGATAATTACTCTCGTGATTATATGATTAAAATACCAAACAACAACGTATTATATTCACTTGGTGTTTTTTTACTTGTATCTTTCCATTGTTATTTAAGACTGAAATTGATCAGCCTCATATTGGCATATGCACAGGTACCTCCAACTGACGAGCCTTAAATAGGACGAAACACGCGTCCTGGATTCCACTGCTAGCCGCTATCCATCTTTCACAACGTATTATATTTCACAAATCTTAGTAAATACATTTATAAGTGAGTGTTTTTTTGTCAAGATTGGTTAGCATCCAACAGAATATGCGCTTCATCTTAGTCGGGAGTCTTGAATGGAATGTACCCATATTCCCGTCTTTATGTACACTCGGCGATTTGAACATAGTACCTTTTGTTTCAAGATTCATACAGTTACAAATAAAATACATATCTGTTGCACAAAACAGTGGTTATCTGAACTCAATAGATCAGTGAATGATGTGATAGGTGTTTGAACCGAAAGGTACTGGCTTCGAGTTTTCCACGGTGGTCTAGCTTCAACTCACTCATGATCTCAACTATTAAAATTACTAAAATCTCCACAAAACCCCTTTCGATATGCTAAAATAGACTGATTAACTGTAGACCTTAATAGCAACAATGGGAATATTCACAAGCTTAAAAATAGGATAGATTTCATTAGGAAATTGAGTAACCCATCTATAATTAACTGATTGTCCTAAGTAAACCAGTTTTCTGACGGTTACTTTCTTATCAACTCTGTCAGCTTTTCGAAACTGATGTATTCCAATTTTGTGTAGCTTTGTAGCTTTCAGTAAGTTTACTTATAATAGAAATTTCAATGTTTATGTTCATTGATTACTAAGTAGTTGAGTCCTTGGTTCTGACTGAATCTTATCGATTAATTTGTAACCTAACCACTAGTCTAAGTGACTGAACGTCTTGAGCACCATATTTTGACGTTAATTGGTTGTAAGAAGTCGAATGTTCCGCCTATTACCTTTAACCACACCATACAAAATATTCTGAAGTACAAAAACTTGAGTTCCCAACTCAGATTTTAAGTTAATCTTCTTGCATTCTAAACCAATGTCTTATAGTTTTGAGGATTGATACGGATCTTATGTAATTAGAGACAATCGACTGGAATTTCTGAAACTATCTTCCGTACTAGTTAGGATTCGGCAGAAAGGTGTTTCTAAAGGCTTGAAAAAATCGATACTCCTTGTCGGATCCAAACTTATGTCACCTAATACAACAGTCAGACATATTGCAACTAAACTATTCAGGTCACAACAGACCTGTTGTAAGACTAAGGTGTTTACATCAATTGATCACCGTTTAATAGCCAACAGTATTCTTATCTAGTTCTTAGCGCTTATCAAATTCCATCAATCAATATGCAATTATTGGATGCAATCGATGGGACTTTGGTTTAGTCAGTTCACTTTTCTTCACATTAGTTACTAATAATCCTATCAGATATTTTCAGAAGACTACTTTCAAGTTTTTATTGTAATATATTATGATAATTAGAAGTATTTGAATTAATCCGATAGCTAAGAATTCCCGATATAATGCAACTTATGACAAGTGGAATGGTTTGAATTATTTTTTCTGGTTAGCGTTTTTTTAGCGAGTTAGTTTTCCACATGCTCAACCCTGTTCCTTTACCCTAGCTTGGGACCGGCAGTACCTCTAGAAGAGCGGAGTTGTTGTCTACGCAAGATCCATCGGCCGGATACCATCAGCAACAGTCTACTGTGGAAGAGAACAAACCAGCTTCCAACTGAAGAAGAAATTAAGAAAAGACAATGAAAATGGATAAGACATACATTACGGAAATCACCAAACTGCATCACGAGGCAAGCACTAACTTGGAATCCTGAAGGGAAGAGGGAAAGAGGAAGGCCAAAGAACACATTACGTTGAGAAATAGAAGCAGATATGAAAAGGATGAATAACAACTGTAAAAAACTGGAAAGGATTGCCCAGAACAGGGTTGGATGGAGAATGCTGGTGTGCGGCCTATGCTCCTCTACGAGGAGTAACATGCGTAAGTAAGTATGACTAGTGGAACTACATTAGCACAAACGAACGTATTATATTTGGAATTCGTAATCAGCGAGTAATCATGTACAAAGTAATCATTAGTTCGTACAAATACTACATGTATTCATTGGAAGTTGTTGAAATCTACATGTTTTTCTGAGGCTAAATACTATGAGATTATGATTTGTGAACAAGACAATTAGATTTAAAATATTCGGATTTTGATTTTAGAGCAAAATTCACCTATCCATATGGCTAAATAACATTTTGGCACTATTACTGGTATTAATTTGTGATGAAAACTCTAACTCTAATGCTTAAACCTAAGTCCTAATCCTAATTGTCTACACTAATTTATAACCCTCATTTAGTTATAATAAACAGTTGGACATCCTCAAGATTACTTAAACACTGCTCAAAGATCGTTCATAAAATTATGTTCATACACCATAGTAACTTGTCTTTCAGGGTGATCACTGGTAAATACTCAGTGCTATTTCACAAAAGAATACCCTTCAACTGTTATTGAATGTTTACCACTTTTAAGCATAACAGTTACATACACAGTTACATTATCGAAAAAATACAATCTTGAACAACTTTTATCATCAAGACTCATCAATAACTGCATTTAATATAAGAAAGTCATCTGTTCCGTTCATTTGTGATAGTTTTACTTTATCTCATTTGTTTACTTAGAATATATATGCACGATTTACAAGACGTTTTATACAATTAAACTTTCAATGTCATTTTATTATTGCGTTTCTTTCCATTTAAAATGCAAGTTGTTGCTGTAGGACAGGCTTGTGTCAACATCTGAATTAAGGATAGGGAGTGAAGTAGTCGAACGCGTTGACAACTTCACTTATCTTGAAAGTCTGACCAGTCCTAATGAGTTGATGCCTGACGAAATCTGTGCACGGATTCAAAAATCTTGTTTGGTTTTTGCTAATTTACGTCACCTATGGCGAAGGTGAAATATCCATCTATCAATTAAAGGACGAATCTATTGTGTAGCAGTTCATTCTGTTCTACTTTATGGCTGCGAAACGTGACCATTAAGAGTAGAAGATACTCGTAAGCTACTCCTATTTGATGACAGATGTCTTAGAAATATTGCTCACATCTGATGGGATCACCGGGTAAGTAATAGTAAGGTTTGACACAAGGTATTAAGGAATGATGGTCAGTCAGTTGATGAGGTTGTAAATCTTCATAGACTGAGATGGTTAGATGACGGCGTTACGTATTCCTGAACACCGATTACTAAGACATGCAATGCTGACCAGTGTTAGGGACGGTTGGAAGAAAGTTAGGGACGGCCAAACTAAAACGTGGCATCAGTCCACAAAGTCACTAACTTCTAGTCTGAGCCATGTTGGTAGATACAGACTACCTGGTTGGAGTCCGCGTGACTATCATAACCAATGATTGAAGACTCTGAGGGACATGGCTCAGAATCGATCACAATAGCGTAGGTGTATACACTCTTTGTCTTCTCTTAAACTATGAGATTAATATCGCTACATATCTTTCTTTCTATCAACTAATTCTTTCTTCTTGTACTATATCTGATATGTGGGCGAGAATGATACTAATTGGTTGTCTGCTTAGTCAGACATGTAGATAGTCTGACAAGTGTCAGATGAGTTATATATTCCCCTATCCTTATTATTATTATTATTATTATTATTATTATTATTATTATTATTATTATTATTATTATTATTATTATTATTATTATTATTATTATTATTATTATTACTCAATTATTATTGGTTGTTCATTGTTGTTGGATTGTGTCGGGTTTTTTGGTATGGAAATGTATTTACATTGTGGTCAGGATAATCATGTGTTCTTGATCACCTGAGTTGTGTTAAAGTCCTACAGAATAGACACTGGAAGGGAATCTAGCGTAGATATTTGTCTAATGTAAATTAACATTCCATACATGTAAACGTTGGAAACCTACAAGTTATAACAATATTCTTATATACAATCTTTCTTTTACATTTTACCACCACTTCTATGAATTCGCTATTGATCTTGTTGTGTTAATGAAGCATGGCAACTTGGACCTACATTGTAGCTGACTGATTAACTAACCTATTCTTGTCAATTTTAATATCCATAGTTGATTTGTACTATTCAATTACACATATATTCATATTTTAATAGATTTCTTATGACCTTCAAAACGAAGCATCCTATTGGTTACAATCATTGATCTTTCAAGGTCATAGTAATCAAAATGTTTGTTTATTAATCCCTTATTGGTTACTTATCAATTCACCAATCACATGTGGAGAAAGAGAATTAAACGAATGAATAAATTGAAATGAACGGGTAAACTAAGCACAGTTTCTAGGATTAGTCCTTATGATGAAGCATAAGTCAGGCCTACATCATAATCATTCGAATTCTCGAAGGAAACATCCTAAACGATGTACTTTAATTATATATCATATTAGTTTAGGATTAATATTGATTGGAATTATACTTACAATTATTGGATTAACAACACAAAGATTATTTCATATTTATATTTATGATCATCGTAATCCAGCGAGATTTCATCATTTACATATACCAATTGGTTTATTTTCAATGAGTACACATATTACATGGTTATCAATGGAAAAATCAATTTTATCTGAAAATCTTGAAATAAATGGTAAGTTTATTTATTTATTTTTTTTGGTGAGATTATTCTATCATTTATGGATGAACCAATCAGATATAAGCAAAGATGGATAGTGGTTAGCAGTGGAATCCAGGATGCGCGTTTCGTCCTGTTTGGGATTCGTCAGGCAATATCGAAGCATGCGCACAGTATACACATATGCCAATAAGAGACCGATCAATTTCAGTCCTAAAACATCAATGGGAAGATTCAAGTAAAGCAATATCAAGTGAATTAAACTTCAACTCATTGCACAAGCAAGTGGCTATCAGAACTCAGTAGCTAAGTGGATAACTCGATGGCGTTTGAAGCGAACGGTACTGAGTTCGAGTCCCAGAGTGAACATCAACTCTGAGATGCAGGTACATCCAGCTGACGAGTCCCAAACAGGACGAAACGCGCGTCCTGGATTCCACTGCTAGCCACTATCCATATTTGCTTATAATGCTTGTAAATTAAGGCAATATCGAGGCGTACGCACAGTATGCACGTATGCCAATAAGAGACTGATCAATTTCAGTCCTAAAACATCAATGGGAAGATCCAAGTAAAACAATACCAAGTGAATCAATCAGATGGGCACTCGGACAGTACGTCAGCCCTCACATAAATCAAATGATTTATGTGGCGCATATGTATTCGGTGCCTCCATGTACCAACGTTTATGTGTTCAAACAAATAAATTAATAACTTCATGTCGTCTTATTAGTGGTATAGTAATTCAGGCTAACGTATATTTTGTGACAGGTTTTACGTTGATTATGACTGACTGTGGTTAACTAATTGGGTTGACTGAGAATTCATTCACTCAATCATTTTACTAGCAATGATTAGTTTAAATTCACTACCTTGTAATAAACTAATTGAGTGACTAGTCTGTAAAATAGTAACCATGACGTGAACTGAAGAATTACTTGGGAATATTTTGTATATTCCAAAGTATCTTCTATTGCTATCAGACTTTTGAATTTTGTAGTGCTTGAGTAGATTCTGGAACAAGAAGTCATATACGTTATGAATATTGATAACGAAGAGTCAAATTGAAAGGTCTTACTTCTGTTACTCTCAATGGAGCATAGGCCGCCGACCAGCATTCTCAAACCCACTCTGTACTGAGCATTCCTTTCTTGTTCTATCCAGTTGTTGTTCATTCTTCTCATATCTGTCTCCATTTCTCGGCGTAATATGTTCTTTGGTCTTCCTCCCCTCATTTGACCTTCAGGACTAAGTGTGAGGGCTTGCCTTGTGTTGCAGTTGGGGGATTTCCTCAATCTGTGTCCTATCCACTTCCAGCACTTCTTCCTGATTTCTTCCTCTACTGGAATCTGGTTTGTTCTCTCCCACAGTCGGTTGCTGCTGATAGTGTCTGACCAACGAATCCGAAGTATTTTGCGTAGACAACTGTCAATAAATACTTGTATCTTCTGGATGATGGCTTTTGTAGTTGTTCAAGTTTTGACCCAATACAGTAGAACTGTCATGAAATTTGTATTGAAAATCCTGACCTTGGTGTTGGTTGACAGTTGTTTTTAGTCCCAGATATTCTGCAATTGTAGATATTCTGCTCTTGCTTTGCCGATCCGCGCCTTCACATCTGCATCAGATCCACCTTGTCCACCAATGATGTTGCCCAGATATGTAAAGGTTATTACATCTTCCAAATCTTCTCCGTCAATAGTCATTCGATTGGAGCATGCTATGTTGTATCGGAGAATCTTGGATTTCTCTTTGTGTATCTTGAGACCTACTGCTGCTGAGGCTGTAGCTACACTGATCGTCTTCTCCTGCATGTGTTGTTGCGTGTGCGACATAGGAGCCAGATCATCTGCGAAGTCTAGATCGTCCAGCTGCATCCTAGATGTCCACTGTATCCCATGCTTCTCCCCAGATGTTGACGTCTCCATAATCCAGTCGATCACCAGGAGAGAGAAAGGGTGAGGTTGAGAGTAAGCAACCTTGCCTGACTCTGGTCTTCGTTTTGAACAAGTCTATGAACTGTCCTCCATAAACAGTTTTGCGGTTTAATCCATCATATGAGTTCTGTATGATATTGACTATTTTCTCAGGCACGCCGTGGTGCCGAAGAAGCCTCCATAGTGTTGTCTTGTCCACGCTATCAAATGCTTTTTCGTAGTCAATGCAGTCGATGTAAAGTGATGAATTCCATTCATTTGATTGTTCCACAGTGATCCATAGTGTTGCAATTTGGTCTGTACACGACTGATCTTTACGGAATCCAGCCTGTTGTTCTCGAAGTTGGGCGTCTACGGAGTCCTTCATTCTGTTTAACAATACGTTGTTGAATACTTTTCCTGGTATTGAGAGAAGAGTGATGCCCCTGTAGTTCTCACACTTGCTAAGATCGCCTTTCTTTGTTATTTTGATGAGGTGTCCTTCTTTCCAGTTTGTTGGTACTTGTTCTTCATCCCAAATCTTATTGAAGAGAATGTGGAGTATCTTTGCAGTTACCGCTACGTTTGCTTTCAGTGCCTCTGCTGGAATGTTGTCTGGTTCTGCTGCTTTGCCGCTTTTGATTTGCCTGATGGCCATGCTGACTTCTTCAATTGTTGGTGGGCCAACATCGACTGGGAGGTCCGTGGGTGTTGCTTCGATGATGGGTAGGTTCAGTGGGGCTGGTCTATTCAAAAGTTCTTTGAAGTGTTCTACCCACCTGTTTTGTTGTTCTTCAATGTTGGTAATTACTTTGCTTTCCTTGCTTTTCACTGGACATTCTGGTTTACGATAATTTCCATAGAGTTTCTTTGTTGTATCATACAATTGTCTCATGTTTCGTTCTCTTGCAGCGTTTGTCGGTTCTGATGCTCATCTTAACTTGCAAATCGAAAGCTCATTTAAACACAATAGCTTAAGATGGCAATATACATAATCAGTTTAATAAAAACACAAACGGTGGTTATAAAAATGTTGTTTTATAAAATTTACAGTACATCAGTAGTATACTTTTTAAAATCCGTTTTTTGGAAAGGTATTTGTCTTATCATTTACAATGTTTAAACTATTCATGAAAGTAATTGAAATCAAGATTCTTCAGCTGAATTATCATTTGTTATGTTTCAAATTCAGTTGTTTACCTATCATTACAAAACAATAAATCAAAGACCGCATACATTCGATGCTTTCATCAACACCGGAAGTCAACAGTCATCTTACCTTTGTGTTAACCTCAAATTTTTGATAATCCTTATTGAAACGTATATTCCATCTAAAGAAAGCTATTTTCTTCAATATTTTATTGTTGATAACTAGCTGTTAATATGTAATGAACATCCTAAGAATTTTTCCCATGTATTATAAAACATAATATAAGTTAGCAACAAATGATTATTGTATCACATGTGTATGATAATGTGTTCACCAACTTTTAAATCATTTTAGATTTACGGATGCATATACAAATTCATCTTCATTAATAGTAGCTAATGCTTAATATTTCATAGTAAACTTCTTCAGAACTATTGAAACTGATTATGTGTTGAACCCAAGTATGGAGTAGTGATGTTATCTACTTCTTAATTAAGATTCAGCTGTAAAATAGTTATCAAGATTAAATTTATGGTAGGCTTCTTTATGATGACCTCATTAATCAATCCAAATGAAGATATAATCATCATTTTAAAATTACAATTAATGAATATGATGGATTATGACTAGCAGTGGAATTCAGGATGGGCACTTCGTCCTATTTGGAACTCGTCCACTGGATGTACTTATATCCCAAAGTTGATGCTCACTCTGGGACTCGAACCCAGTACAGTACTGTACGCTTCAAACTCTCTCGTGTTATACACTTAACTACTGAGTCGTGATAGTCACCTGCTTGTCCAAGGGGGTGAAAATGAAATTCATTTGGTATTGTCTACTTGAATCTTCCCATTGATGTTTAGGACTGCAATTGATCAGTCTCTTATAGGCATATGTGCATCATGTGTGTATTGCCTCGATCTTGCCTTAAGTCACAAGCATTCTAATAAAAGATGGATGGTGACGAGTTCATAGACATAACAACAATCCAATACTTCCTAACTTTGAAGCTTACATAAATTTATTGTTTAAGCTATTTTTGAAATAGTTTAAGTATCATTTAATCGCCTTTTGTACAATTGGAAATTGTTAAATATTGACTTTAATCAATTAATTTCCATAGTTATCACAAGCGTATGTATGTTAAGATTACGTACTTACTTACTTACGCCTGTTACTCCTTGTCGAGGATCATAGGCCTCCTACCAGCACTCGCCATCCAACCCTGTTCTGGGCATTCCTTTCCAGTTGTTATTCATCCTTTTCATATCTGCTTCTATTTCTCAACGTAACGTGTTCTTTGGTCTTCTTCTTCTCTGTTTCTATTCAAGATTCCAAGTTAGCGCTTATCTCGTGATGCAGTTTGGTGATTTCTGTATTGTATGTCCTATCCACTTCCAACGTTAATATGGTAATTGAGATATTGACATGGAACAATTCAACTTTATTATTAGTAGTAATAAAGTAGTTTGATCATTTAAGAATCAGTATTTTAATATTACTATCTAGCTTTAGAGGAAATAAGTACTTTCATTAAATGTCATTCTTTTGAACTTTTATGAAACATGTTTGTACAAGTTGAAAAAGTTACAAAATATTAAATTCATATTATGATAGTTGACTTAGTCACCATTATCCTCAATTTACAGGTTATTTTACATGTATGAAAATGACTAATTAATATTGGTCGTTTCCATATTTCTTTAGGTACATAAAACCCCTTTCTGATTATAATCACCATATGCTCATTAGTGACTGGCTTCAAGAGGTATTACTTGGAGTTCTAGTGAGAAACAGTGACTAGTGGAATTCAACTGGGTCTGTTGTGAGATAGTAACTCACTGAAGACAATGGTGGCTCAATTTTGTGGATTGGTTAAAGTTAGACATTAACATCGTTGAATGCCAGCCGGTTCAGTGAACTAGAGGTTAAGAGATTTTAATAATTTTATGGTTGAATTCATGAGTCAGTTGAAGCTAGACCAACATGGAAAACATGGGAGCATTGGACGGCCATTTCATCCCATTGTGAGACTCCTCAGCAGTGACCATCCATGATCCCACCCCTCAGGATTCGAACACAGGACTTATCAGTCTCGTGCGCGAACTCTTAACCTCTAGTCCACTCAGTCGGCTGGCATCCAACAGTGTTAATATACTGATTTTCAGAAACAATGTGAATTGATTCTTTTAACTAAACATTATTATGAATCGTATATACGAACCATACAATGGGAACTGAGGTTGGTATAGTGATCAACTAATGATTTTACTTAAAATCAATAATTTCTAAACATAAACAGGTAATTTGTTCCTGAATTCATATTTTCAAAGGTGATTTGAAAATATTAACAATGATTGGTTTCTATTGAAATGTGTACTAAATGGATATTTAATCAAAATATTAAGTAGTATAAATAGAGGACAGTAATATCAGGTATGTGTGTGTGTATGTATGTATGGTATTGAAAATAACTGTTTTTGTCAGTTATCTAGTACACAAATAATAATCATAATAACAATATTGAATAAACGTTGAAGGTTTTGTTTACCTTACATACATTCGTGTGTTGTGTGTACGTCTGGTTAGCGTTTTTTTTTCTGACGAGTTAGTTTTCTATGGGATGAGGTCGCTAACCTCCATGCCCAACCCTCCTTCTTTATCCGGGCTTGGGACCGGCAGTAGCCCCAGAGGGGCTCCAGGCAAAGTTGTTGTGTGTATTTAGTAAATTCAAAAACACCACATTGAAGGATAAAGATACGTGTCGATGAATTTGTAGTACATCTTCATCTTTGTTAAATTCTGAAAAAGGATGTTTTCCTCTTATTACATTCATGATAAATAGAGATCAATATCATTATACCATCCTTCCCCCCCCAAGATTTTAATTAGTTACTTTTTCTAATCACGTTATCTAGGTATAATAAATAATAGAATCAATCATTGATAGAAAGCAACTGCAAACACGTAACTGGTTAACTTTTAACATTCCTCGAAATTAAGGTTAATTGTTTACGAAAACTATTTATGTATTAAACTAATCTTTCTTTCTAATCCTTTCTTCCTATATTATACACAATCATATATATTACTACCATTGAATTACCTACTTCTATGAATTCGGTGTTCATCTTGTTGTGTTAATGAGGTATGATAACTTGGACTGATGTACATATGTGCCTAGTCCTACGTTGTAGCTGACTGACTGACTGAATCTTCGAAAAATCTCCTTTTATTAAAACATATTTATTTCCAGTCGCTTTATTTTTCGGTACAAAAATGGATCCTATTGGCCATAATCTACATTGGATCAATTGAATGTTTTTAAAAAAAATAGATGAGTGGTTAGTAAAGTTAAACTAGGATAGAAGGTTGTGCATAGTTAGTAGGTTAAGCGTTCGCGCGCGAGACTGAAGGCCTTGGGTTCGAATCTCTTGAGGCGAGATCGTGGATGAGTACTGTTGAGGAGTCCCATAACAGGACGAAACGGCCGTCCAGCGCTTCCAGGTTTTCCATGGTGGTCTAACATCGATCAGTTCATGATCTCAACCGAAATAATTAATTAATTTTTAGACTTCAATGATATTATTCTTTTATTTTGATTTCGTTTGGTGAAAACATTGTTTTTATATTCTTCTTAAAGTTTAAGTCGAATTATCATTAAACTAGTAATGTTGGGCGTTTGTGAGTGAAACTAAAGATTGCGTGTTTGATTCTTGAATCCGGGTTCAAGAACAAGCACTTTATAGAAGTTACATGCCAGGATAAAATGACAGGTCACTCACAATTCTTTAGCGAACAGTTCTTATCTTTGTAACTCTGTACTTTAGAGCTCTTACTATCGGTGACAGCAATTTATATGTTGTAGGTTGAAGTGTGACATTTTCGGGAGATGACATTTCTTACCCTTTCCTCTGTTGTAGAGAGGTGGTATTGTTACATCTACTAGAACGATACGAACTACTGTATTCACACCCCAGTACAATCAACAGTACGACTTTGTCCTCAAACCTTATTTTTGGTGCTTTTCACTTTACTGCTATCTGGTAGACCTAATTGGTATGGTTAAACCTAAGCAAACAAGTATTCCAACTAATATAACTCAACTAGATTATCATGATGATGAGACTTGATCATCATATGCGTCATGTTAGCAGCTACAATTGAGTCTAATTAAGATCAGTCCATTCTCAATATTACCAAAGTTATAAATGTGAACTTTTTGGTGTACCAACTCAGTGGTATGAAGGCTATGCTCTCACCACCAAGCCCTAGATTTTTATATTTGTTCCCTGACAAGGTTGTAGATATTAACTGCTAAAACGTATTGTGTTAAAATGAGTTAACTGTCCATTGGTTTCTGGCTTGCAATCATTGACTAATTTTAAATTCAGTTACTTTTTTCGTTAAATAAAGAATGTTAGATAGAATTTTTAACTATAACATTGTTCTTTATTAGAGGTATGGATTACCATAAACTAATCAATCAGTTTATTGCCATTATTTGTTTGTTGACTATTTTTAATCTCTACTTAATGTAATTAATATCGACCAGTTCTGTAAACATTAGCAAGTATTAACTATCTGAAGGGGTTTTGTGGAGATTGTAGTAATTTCAACAGTTGAGATCATGAGTCAATTGAAACTAGACCACCATGGAAAACCTGGAAGCACTGGACGGCCGTTTCATTCTATTGTGGGACTCCTCAGCAGTGCGCATCAACGATCCCTACAATCTCCACGAAATTCCTTCTGATAATAATTAACATATGCTCACTAGTGACTGGCTTCAATAGATATATCCTGGAGTTCTAGTGAGAAGCGGTGACCAGTGGAGTTCAACCGGGTCAGTTGTGAGATAGTAACTCGCTGATGACGATGGCGGATGTGTCGCTCAATTTCGTGGATTGGTTGAAGTTAGATATTAACACTGTTAGATACCGACCAGCTCAGTGGTCTAGAGGTTAAGCGCTCTCACGCGAGACTGATAGGTCCTAGGTCCAAATCCCGTGAGGCGGGGTCGTGGATGTTCACTGCTGAGGAGTCCCACGATAGGACGAAACGGCCGTCCAATGCTTCCAGGTTTCCCATGGTTGTCTAGCTTCAATTGTTTCATGATCTCAGCTTTTGATATTAACTATCTAGTTAAAAGGGTTTATATGGAGAATGTTTTAATTTATATGTTGTATTAGTCGCAGGTTGATCTCAGTGGGGTTACTAGTGAATATTAAGGACCACTGGACAACTGTTTCACCCTAGTACGTGACTCCTCAACAGTAAACACTCGCGAATCCTTCAAGGATAGAACTCAAGACGTTTAGGTCTATGCGGTTTCTTATCGAGATGAAATATATGTTCAGTTATCAAACTTTTTAAATTGTTTCCCCCCCCTCCCATTGAAATCAACCTATGAGGAATAAAATGTGTAACTTATCAACTTTGCATCATTTTCAAGTATAAAGTGTCCGCATGAAGTTTCTCCATCGTAAATGGCAGTAAATATTTACCTCAACTTGAAATGAGAAAAATATTTCATCAAACTACTTATTTGATTATATTCTATGTTTTTTACATAGGAATTTCAGAAACAGTTAGTATACAATGGTTAGAATAATGTTTAAAATTTATCAGCGATTCAAAGGCTGTCAATTTGAATATAATTATAATTCATGTTTTGTTTTACTAATTCATTCATCCTTGTATCATCACTACGCTTTGAATAGAGGGTGTGATAGCAGTATGGTGTTTCCCTCGGACAACCAGCATCTGCAGCGATGCTGCCTTCTCACTAGGAGAGGTGGGGTTAGAAAAGATCGACCCTAAAAATGTCACACCGCAACTTCACGGATTTCCGTCTCCGGCGGTAGGGCCTTTTGAAGAACGGAGCTAACACGTTAAAATCTCCGCACAAAAAGGTCATGCGCGGTCACGCTCCCAGGTCTTTAAAACCAATACTAATCCAACTTTTCAGGTCCCTCAAGAAATACTCTTCTACGGTGTGAGCAGCCGGGAAGTGACATCAGCCCTCATGCCTGTAACAGCACATGAGAATGACTGACTGACTGACGTTCCTATTTAGTTGTGTAGCATTAACTTAGTTGTTAATGTGTTCAACTTTCAGTTACTAAGTCCCAGGTCCGAATTCCACCCTTCAAATACTTTGGGTCGGATAAATGGATACTATCATTAGCCTCGATACTAACAGTGTGACTGGAAGCCAAGTACACCAAACTATACACCTGGTAAATGAGTTATTACTTGTTAAAGATACCGAATTAGATTTACACTATTCTTAATTAATGAAATGAATCCATGTCTTCATGATAAGTTGGTTTTCTATGTTTTTTATTTTTAACACAAGAGTTGTACATTGAGGGTCCAAATATAATATATTGAATAAAATTATGTGTATGTTTACCTGGATATTTAGTGCAGCAACTTGCACCGAGCAGCTCTCATATCAAGTTTTTATATGTTGATGATTAACTGATTAACTTATTCCTTATCAAGTTCTTAGATTTTGTTGGCCTCGCTATGTATGACGAATTTCATTTCATAAAATCATGGATTTTTCGTTTAAGTCATCTTTTTCAGTGTAACCTGTCCGGATGAGATCTGTGCAATAAACGTGATCGATGATTGAAGGCAATGGGTAACAATATCTCAGATGTATACACTCTACATTGTTTTCTAGACTTACAATTCCGGAACAATTTTAAACATAATGTTAACTTCAACTTGTGATGCTAATTTAGCTTATGACAACCTTTTGATTGATCATAAAACTAATCAACTCTATATTTCTGTACTATTCTAAGGTGTGTGTGTGTGTGCGTGCATATACTGGATTGGACTGGTACATAATTGTGCTTTTTTTTCTTATGTCTTTTCATTTAATTTTAGATCTTCGTTGGACATTGGCTAGAATAATGAGTTTAATAGGCTTATTGACAGCAATTACATCGTTTATAATTCATATAATTCTAGCATATTTTCAAACAAATCGTAAATGGTTAAATGTTCTAGCTGAAGTTGTATTTCTTCTGATAGCTGGTAAGAAGAGTATTTTTCTCTGCTATAAAAGTTTTTATTGGTGTTTATTAGTGTAAAATCATGATTTTGAACGGTATAGGAAGTGAGAGGCCAAAAAAAAACTAGTTAGCGGAACATACACTGGATTAAAGCATACTCAATGGAAGATTGCTTTGGTGCACGCTGATTGGATAAGAATTAGCCAATCAGCGTTAGCCAAACTTAGTGAACACTCGAGAAATCTTCTCATGTGAAAAACTATAAATATACTAACGTTTTCCCCATTGCACTTACTTGCTTCTTGCTTCCATCTAACCTTGTTATTTGGAATATAATCCCCTTCCTGTTCAACTGTGTACTGATTTGGGGACTTTGTCGAGTGATTTGGTGTCCAAGAATACTAAACACTAAGAATAGCTGGGTTATAACTGTAAGAGAGAAATATAACACTCGTCATAGATGTAGATTATTTTATGGACTTTTCAAAAGCAAAATTGCATTGAATCAAAAAACTGAATGTACTTTCATCTTAGAGTTGATTTTCACTACAGAATTCATCAATATATAATGAGTCTCATACAAAATGAAATACATGTCCTGAATCTCATTGTTAGCCACGTTTCATTTACTCCAAATAAAGGCTATATTGAGACAATCCGCACAGAATTCACATACACCAACTAAAAGTGTCTGAAACTAAGTCAAATTACAAACAATGAGATATTCCAGATTGTTAGATATTAGATTGAAATATCATTATTATGCATAGTCAACTTGATAATAGTAATGTCAGTTTTGAGTGTTTGGAACATTTAAACTTATCATCTGGTTCAATAATTGGAATAATCTCAATATTCATTATTATCTACTAAGTTTAAAGTTAATAGACTTTGTGTTTTTCAACTATCTTCATCAAGTGGGATTAGATCCTCTGCATGATCGAATCCAGTATGTCTATGGGTAGAAAAGTGAACACTTAAACCTTAGACACTCAAACTTGAGAGAAATAACCCACTTGGTAATTAATGACCTGAAAATAGATAATACGGTTCAGCCTCTTTGAGTTGTGTTATGGACTGTTTGATTCATATATACGCGCTAACCAGAGAAAATAATTTAAACCATTTAAACTCCGCTCTACTAGTTGAAGGATCTTTATTTAGCAGAATTATGATTCGTCATGGTGAAAGCCGAGATTCTTCGGAAGTCACGAGGCTGATGCCCCTTCTAACAATCAGAGAAACAATTGGTATGGGTACACTGAATGTTCGGTCAATGTGGGAGACTGGGAGAACCAGTCAAATAGCTGCGCGAATGAGGACATAAACTTGGCGGCACCCTGAATCAAAGAAACCGTTACTTACTTACGTCTCTTACCCCCATAGAGGAGCATAGGCCGCTCACCAGCATTCTCCATTCAATTCTGTCCTGCGTAATCCTTTCCAGTTATTATTCATCGTTTTCATATCTGCTTCCGATTCTCGGCACAGTGTGCCTTTGGCCTTCATATTATCTGTTTCTATTCAAGATTCCAAGTCAGAGCTTACCTCGTGATACAGTTTGGTGATTTCCACAATGTGTGTCTTATTCACCTGAAGCGTCTTTTCCTGATTTCCTTTTGAGCTGGAAGTTGATTTGTTCTCTCCCACAGTATGTTGTCGATGATAGTATATGGCACGTAGCTCCTCTAGGGCTGCTGCCGGTCCCAAGCTCGGATAAATGAGGAGGGTTTGGAGTGGGGTCAGCAACTCCATCCCGTATAAAACAACCTTGTTAGAAAACGCTAACCAGAATAAACAATTTAATCAAAGAAACCCGTTGGATTCAAACTGGACAGAAAATGTTAGATTTGGGAGAAATGATGCTGTACTCTGGTTACGAAGAAGAAAATGCCCCACACACTCAGGGAGTTGCTCTGATGCTGCTCAATAAAGCACGAAAAGCACTTATTGGATGGGGATGTCATGAATCCAGAATCATCAAAGCATCCTTAAAAACAAGGAATGAGGGGATCACAATGTATATTATCCAGTGTTATGCACCCACCAATGGTAGCGATAAAGACGATATAAGTCAGTTTTATGAGAGGGCCCAGTCGATCGTAAAGAAGTGACTAGGAAACGACCTTACCATCCTAATGGGAGATCTAAACGCCAAAGTCGGAATGAACAACACCGGATATGAAGATATCGTGGGACGACACAGACTCGAGAAAGAAACGAAAATGAGGAGATTTGCAAATCTATGTGCATTCAACAAATTGGTTATATGCGGCACAATATTCCCACACAAACACATACACAAAGCTACATGGATCTCACCGGACCATATCACAGAGAACCAGATAGATCATATTTGTATCAATAAATAGTCTAAATCTATCTATGTAGCTCAATCCAAGAGTCAATGACTTTATGAACTAATCTCACGATCTGATCATTTCTAGCCACATTTAGCTGTCTTCTAATATACCCTTCTAATATACATTTGTAAACATCGTGGGATCTCAACCAGATTTAATAAACATAAAACCTAGTACGATCTGACCTCTTTCCAAGTTGTCACAATATACTAGAATAGTCAGAGGAAATTGAGAATCTCAATAGCAAAACATTGGAATAACAGTTAAATATATTGTAGTAAACGGTTAACCTGAAGAGTATAATGTACAAATAAGGAAATATGAAATAGTATTGAAACTGTTATGTTTGACGATGTTAAGCAATATCATTTGTTAGATTTGTTAGTCAGAATCCTGGCTATAATTTCTCGATCTTTGCGTGTACTATTCCTTCTGTATGCTAGTGTCCTAAATGTTGACTTATGATATATATTCTAAACGTCGGGATTAATCCTTGGCTAAGGCTGACGTACCATTCAACTGCTATTGGTTTGTCGATTCCCCAGCCTTGAGCTCGAATGAGAAACGACAACAGTTAAGCTTGTATTATTATTATTATTATTATTATTATTATTATTATTATTATTATTATTATTATTATTATTATTATTATTCGGAATACACATGGGTTTCTAGTCACCAAAATACATGTGTGTGTGTTACACAATAAACTAGAAAATCATAGTTTACATAAACAGGCCAAGAGTGGCAGTAAAACTTGCTAAGCGAAGAGAAGGGTGCCAACTCGATTTCACGAAGCTTGAATAGATATTTGTACTCAGACATGTGATGAGTAAGATAAAAAATGTGCACACATACGCTTGATAAGCGAGTAAGTGTGATAAGGTCAAAATAATGGCTTGAGGTGAATGAATAGATTGATCTGTTCAGAGGCTAGAATAACCTATATGGGCTTGACTTAGTACCAGTCCCTACGGTATATAAGAATTGTCCATGATATATTTTTGAAAGTTTCCATTTATTCAATCTTCATCAGGAACTTGAAATCTATGAGAATGCATCGACGTTATTGTGACCTATTGTATGAACCATAAATAAGACAGATGTGATATAGTGTTGAATAACATGTTAACAGTTAACTAACTGTAATTTATTGAACAAAAAAGACACCGTAACAGTTAATACATCGGATGTAAGCTTAACCCCTATATCCAATACAAATTGTTCATAGAATATATATAGACTCATTCCTTGAAAAGTACCTATCATAGTTCACATTTTTTATTTTTGACTATTTAAACCACTGACTACAATGAACAGCTGAGTGCCCTTGGGGATTTCTAAGATTAACAAGTGTTCTAAACTTTTCTAAACATATATCGATTTTATTATGATCGCAAAACAATATTAGTTAGATTATCACTGAAAATTTGAAAGCATTCGATAAATGTTTTATTCTAGTATGGGCTTCCTCAGTGGGATACCTATCCTGTCGTATGCCCTGATGATGTTCTCGTAACTTTCGAGTTGCCTGATCTGTCAAGGGTGATGGGACATTGCATGATGCTATTGTTGTGTGCTAGGTCCAAAGAGAATTGTATGCAAATCCACCCCGTTATTGTTCCTATTTCAAACCTTTTACACTGTTAAAACGATCCGGTTTGGCTTGTCATTCACTAGTTTGCTGCCTGGTATGCACCTGGCTTCGTGCTGGACTGCATATACTGTGGCTTAACGGTAAATATCCTAGGTTGCATTGTTAACCATTAGTTCTATGCATTTGGGAAACCAATGTATGGGATTATTGGCGTATAGGCTTCTTCAATAATGTACACTAACAACTCAACCATAGGGGGATTGAACCTAGAACCATTGTTTTCACGTGCGAATATTTAACCTCTCGATTGCTTAGCAAAAAAATCTAGTAGTATACAAGTCTAACTTCCATCAATCAATTTCCTTTGATATATCTATGTACTTTCAATGTATAACAAATTCATACTATCTCCTTTGATTTTACTTTTTTTCCCTCCAAACTTATAGTTGCATGTGTATTGGTTGGATTAAGTTTAGCTGAAGCAGAAATTGAATATATTCATGATCATGGTGATATGATTCTAACAAAAGTTCTCCTTTCAAATGGTTTAATGGGAACAAATGATGAATATACAAATCAATTCTATTTAGATAAAAAATAATAATCAATTAATGATCAACAGAGATAGTACTGGTGGTAATTTCAATCCGGAAGATAATATTGCTATCAATGGTCTTAGTAGTAGTAGCAGTAGTGGTAGTGGTAGTAGTGGCAGTAGTAGTAGTACAGACAATGATCGTTTAGGTTTATCTGGTGAATTTGCCTTATTACTTACTCCACCATTATCAAGTTTTTTCTTATTAATTTCAGCTGATTTTATTTATTTATTAAGTTTTCTTGCAGTACTTATCTATTTTGTACGTTTATGTGAAAAAGCTGAAGCAGATAGAAAACAAATGAAATGCGCTGAAACAACAAGTTCTGTTTAAAATAAACTAATCACTATGGTCTCATTTAAGTATCATTTCTTTACTCTCCCTCTCTTTCTATTTGTGTGTGTGGGGGGTGGGTGGAGGAGGAGGAGGGTTCCTACGTCGATATTCACAAGTTGAATATTCTCAAAAAGAAATGGAGACTATACACAATATTTGGATACTAATATTCTTGTTTAATTCTTATTTCCTTTATTTTCATTACTATGTGTTAAGTGTTATTCATTCAAGTAGAACTATCACATTATGTATGATCTATTGTCATTATTCATTGTTTGTGACATTTCACTAAAGGTTACTTCAATGTGTCTTCTTCATCTTCTTCCTTCTCTGTGCATGAGCATTAAAATAACACTTGCTTTGATGATAATGAAATCAAATAATCTATTTTCAAAGCTTCTTGTGTGTATGGGAGAGATAATCTTCTATTCGTGCATTTTTTTTGTCAAAGAAAATACATTTTCACCATTGAAAATCCATATTGTTTCTAGGGTATAACATTTGTGGGGGTGTGGCATATAAATATTTTTCTAGTGTAATAAAACTTTCTAAAGTTTGACGAAACGAAACAATTTTTTTCTTATTTTCAAAAATAGATAATAAGAATTTCATTCTGTAGTTATGGCGCCCGAATGCCTTAGTACGGCCGAGAGTGGAGAAAGTCCTCTCTCTCTCTCGAGAGAGAAATGCTCTCAAATGGCCATGTGCGTACAACCGCTGCTATGGAAGTCCTACTCACTTCTTTCTCGCGGCATTACTGTTGTTTACGAAATTGAGAGGACGAAAAGCGAATGTCCGGTGCTTTAACCAGGTTGATGGATACGGAGGAGACCCACCAAGGAAAGTTGGAAAACCCTGATTTCAAGCCAATGGTGCATATGGGCTCCAGGATCCTGATGGAAAAAATGGTGTATGAACCTATTGTTGATCACCGACTACCATGAGACTGAATCTCCTGATGTTGCTTCACTGCATTGTGGATCAGACCTTCAGGTTGACGGCTCTGAGTCTATGAAAACCACCTGTTTCGGTCTAGGCCCCCGGACAGTAACACAGCCCACACACAAATCAAGTGACTTGTGTGGCGCATATGTACTTGGTGCCCTCTAGTACTACTATTTATGTGTTTAAATAAATAAATGTATTCGTGTTAACGATTCATCACAGGAATGTGAAATTCAAGCAAGTATTCGGAGCTCTCGAAAATGTCTTCCAAAGTTAATAGATTGCTGAAAACACCTTAATCCATTGATGTTCATGGAAAGCTATCTAGAAATAATAAAGTGAAGAATTGTTTGTGCCTTCTTTGTCCTGATTGCATAACCATCAATTTTATCGTCCTCTCATAAGCTTCTAGAAACTCAAGGTCTTATGTAACTTCTAAGGCTACCTTCGTTTACTGTAGATAATCGCAATTGGGATGTAAAGATTGCTCCACGATTTCCAGCTATTCAAGATTAAATAGTAGACTTCTGGAAACTAGGAAGTACGTAACTGAATGTTGTTGTAAATGAAAACTAAGTTTGAATTAAGGGTGATAAGATAATGATGCCAACAAAATCAATGAAATTTGTCACGGCAAGACTCTAATTTATGGACGTCCTTTGAACACATCTTAAGTGACCCTGAGTAATATTTGCTAGTCAGTATAGAGTAAAAAGATGTTATACAAAACCACGGAAATAAAGTGGATACACCTCTTATACGTGGTTAGAAAAAGGTTCACAGGTCCTAAAATCGTAATACATGCAGTAGAGGAATCATCCGTACGGCTACAGAACAGTCGGCCTCTAGAGCCATGATAAAGTATCGAAAACTCTTTCAACCTAGACCACATCGCTTCAACATTGTTTACGTGCACTCCGGTTGTTGAGTGCACAAAATGCTACTTGTGGATAACGACACGATGCACATAACCAATCCTATGTAGGAGTCTGTACGCTCTCCAAACATCCTTATGTATTGTAGTACCTGGCTGTAGCCAACATTACTGGTGTTTTCATTATCTAGTTCACAATAATTGTCATAATTTGCCTTAGTTACGAATTATATATGGGGTTTTCATCACAAACTGACATCAGCTACAGTTCCAGAAATCTATTTAGCCAAATAAATGAAAGGCTTTCGTGTTAAAATCCGAGATCTGTTATCTTATACCTGATTGATTCGTCCACAAATTGTAGTCTCGCCATTTTATTTGTTATAGCCGCTCAATGATCACGTTTTGTACAAAATCCCCTGTGAATCGATCGTACGTTAGCATTAAGTACTGAAGTTGGCTCCGTAACCTTGAAATCTCTAAGACGCCTCTGATTGGCTCGTCCATTAATTAGAGTCTCACCGCAAAGCAAACAATGAGAGGAGGCAAATGTATGAAGGAAAGGTCAATTTAAATAATTGTATTCATATATTCATATCCTAGACTTGATCAATTATACTTCTCGACCTAAACAGTTAATCTTGAACCGTTATTGGCTAACTCCTATTTTTCCACTACTTGCAAGCCTGCTTATCTAATCCAGATTAAGACATTGACGCGATAGGCTGACCGACCTAACCTTGAGGCTAGTACGCATGAGTTCGAAGTTGGGTAGAGAGAAGAAAATTATTCTATCACCTGATTGACTGACAAGCACGCAAACGAGAGAAGACAAGACAATTGGAACACTACTCAACCTATTCCTGTTATACTGATTTCCGATTAGTGTCCAAATCTGGGAATTAGAATAGAAATTAGGGTGCAAAATATGATGTTTAAATTACAATAGCTTCGGAACAAAAAAGGGTATGGCAATGAATGATAAATCAAACGAAAGCTTATGTTTTGTAGAATAGATTAGGAACAAAAATAAATGTGAGTGTTTAACAAGCTTTGCATAAAATGAACTAACGTCCCGAAAAGGAATAGATTTCGTAGTTTGTCAGAGCTTCTTGTTTCCTTGTTCACATTAGAGATGACATTAAATTAAAGAAACCAATGGTTCAAGTTATGTATGTTCAGTTAAATTTGTAAGGTCTTAAATTAAACTATGAATATGTGAACAGTAGTAGTTCAATTGAAATGAATAAGAAATTACAATGAATTGATATACAAGAGATGGAATGTGATTAGTAGGGCAATCCAGGATGTACATTTTTGTTTTTATTTGGGTCTTGTTATTTGAATGAACCTGAATTCGAAAAGTTGGTATTCAATTTGAGATTTAAATTCAGTAAGTTTCAGTCTAAACATCAACGCGTTATTCATTCAGATACTAAGCTTAAAAAGTCATCCATTTGTGCTGATAGATATAAAATTCAATTAAGTTTTTAGTGGGTTGAATTATCTTCTTAACATTCCTAGTCTTAGTTGAAAAATGTGCATCTTGTACAAATTGCCGTGGTATTACCATTATGATATTAGCTTCAATGGACTCAATGATCTCAACCATTGAAATTACTACAATATCCAGAAAACCCCTTCTGATAATAATCAACATATGCTCACTAGTGACTGGCTTCAAGAGGTATTACTTGGAGTTCTAGTGAGAAGCAGTGACCAGTGGAGTTCAACTGGATCTGTTGTGACATAGTAACTCACTGAAGACAATGGTAGCTGAATTTCGTGGATTGGTTGAAGTTAGGTATTAACACCGTTGAATGCCAGCCGGTTCAGTGATCTAGAGGTTAAACGTTCACTCACGAGACTGATAAGTTCTGGGATGGAATCTCGCGAAACGGGATCATGGATGCTCACTACTGAGGACTCCCAAAATAGGATGAAACGGCCGTCCAGTGCTTCCAGGTTTTCCATGCTGGTCTAGCTTCAATTGTTTCATGATTTCAACTATTGAAATTACTATAATATCCACAAAACCCCTTCTTATATGGAATAGTTGGGATGTAATTAGAAGTATAATACAGGACGTATGATTAGTTCTATTTGGGACTCGTCTATTGGGTGTATCTATACAAAATTCAATCAAAATATCATCAACTGGATATTGTTATCCAGTAAAAATTAAATGTGTTTATATTTTCATACTACTCATAAGTAGCTAAGATCGATTTTCGGAAACTGGTTGAAATTGTAGTAGTTTGATAGTTGAATTCATGAGTCGATTTAAATTAGATCACCGAGGCTCCTAAGATCGAGTCCCACGCACGGAACCGTTGATGAACACTACTGAGGAGTCCAATACTGGGACGAAACATCTGTCCAGTACTTCCAGATTTTCCAAAACGGTCTAGCTTAAATTAACGATTTAACAAATTACCTAAAAACGAAGCTACAATTAGTCAATGTCTTTAATATTTTAGTAAATTACAGAAAAGTATTTAAGGATGATACAATCTGTTGAGAATGAATTTAAATGATCATGTTTTATGAAGTTTTATTGTACGGATCTCTCCCGCCAGGGTGCCTGGTACCTGTGTGGTTGTGCCACAGGATTGATCTGTACCATTCAGATTGTAGCGTTAAAGCCAAACGGTGTCTGGTTCTCCTGTTAAACGGGGTTGAGCTGTACTGTTTAGGCTGTCACGTGAAAGTCCGGATGGTGTCTGGTTCTCCTGAAAACCAATGTAAAATTACCCTGGCCTACAAGGGTATATAATATAACTGCGAATTTGCCCCCAAATGCCCTGGTATGGCAGAGAGTGGAGTGGGCCCGCCCTCCCTCTCGAAATGCTCTCACATGGCCACGCGTATATAGCTTCTGCCATGGAAATCCTACTCACTGCCTTTTCATGGCTGGGGTTTTGTTTACGAAAATGAGAGAACGAAAAGCGAATGTCCGGCGCTTTAACCTGGTTGGTGGATATGGAGAGTCTACCTACGGGAGTTGGAAAACCCTCATTTCAAACCAATGGTGCACATGGGGTTTGCATGAAATTGATAGAATATTGACAGTTGATTATAATGATACTTTCCAAGTTGTTTAAGGATTTCATCTAAACCAGAGAACATTAACAAGTAGGGTCCTAGTCAAGATTATTTATATTGATAGATGTTTTCA